CCGACCACTGCATCAGTATTTAAATATTCCTGGAGTACTCTAATGTCTTCGTCAGTATGAATTCGTTGCCCTATTTTGGTGTCATCGGCAAACTTGCTTATATCGCTTTTTATTCCCTCATCTATGTCGTTAATGTAGATTGTGAGCAACAAAGGGCCCAACACTGACGCTCGTAACGCTTCCCCACCGCTCGTAACGCTTCCCCACTCTGAATTTCCCCATTTATGCAAACTCTCTGCTGCCTGTTTGTCAACCATGCCTCTGTTCAGGAAAAAAAATTCTCTTCCTATTTCATGTGCCTTAATTTTCCTCAATAGTCTTTGATGTGGGACGCTATCAAAAGCCTTACTGAAGTCCATATAGACAATATCACATTCATTACCATGATCTACCTCCTCTGATACCTTAGTGAAAAAAGTTAAGAAATTCGTAAGGCAGGAACGGTATTGTGTAAAACCGGCTTGAGATTCGTTGATCAATTTATTTTAATACAATCCTTTTTGTGTGTGTGTACTCACATATCTGTATCCACTTGTTTGTGGTTACAAGGGTCGATATGCAGCTCCAGGCCCCACCTCTTCACTGGTCGCTACTAGGTCCACTCCTTGCTCCATGAGCTTTATCGTATCGTATGTGTGTATTTGTGTACTCGCCTATTTGTGGTTGCAGGAGTCTATTCACAGCTACTGGCCCTGCCTCTTCACTGGTCGCTACTATGTCCACTCTCTCCCTGCTCCATGAGCTTCGTCGTATCTCTTCTTAAAGCTATGTATAGATCCTGCCTCCACTACATCACTCTAAAGATTGTTCTACTTACTGATAACTCTGTGGCTGAAGAAATACTTCCTAACATCCCTATAACTGCAAGAACCTTTTCCTTGAGTGAGGTTTGCTGTCTTTGGCCCCCTAGCCTTTACTCTGTCTGCGGTCTTCTTTGACCTTCCCCAATCTTCATGACTTTGTACCTGGTGGGGTTAAACTCCAGGAGCCAGTTGTTGGACCAAGCTTGCAGTTTGTGCAGATCTTAGGACTGACCCTCGTGGAACTGCACGTCACAGGCGCCCACTCTGACAGCTCATGTATTATCATTTGTTTCCTTCCTGTTAGGTATTCTTTGATCCATTGCAATGCCTTTACAATTATTCATGTACTCATCTAGTTGCACTCACCTATTTGTGGTTGCAGGGGTCGATTCACAGCTCCTTAGTTACTAGGAGTGGTGTGTGTGTGTGTGTGTGTGTGTGTGTGTGTGTGTGTGTGTGTGTGTGTGTGTGTGTACTCGCCTATTTGTACTCACCTATTTGTGGTTGCAGGGGTCGAGTTATAGCTCCTGGCCCCGCCTCTTCACTGATTCCTACTAGGTCCTCTCTCTCCCTGCCCCATGAGCTTTATCATACCTCGCCTTAAAACTATGTATGGTTCCCGCCTCCACTACGTCACTTTCTAGGCTATTCCACGGTCTGACTACTCTATGACTGAAGAAATACTTCCTAACATCCCTTTGATTCATCTGAGTCTTCAGCTTCCAATTGTGACCTCTTGTGTCTGTGTCCCCTCTCTGGAACATCCCGTCTTTGTCCACCTTGTCTATTCCGCGCAGTATTTTATATGTCGTTATCATGTCCCCCCTGACCCTCCAGTCCTCCAGTGTCGTCAGGCCGATTTCCCTCAACCTTTCTTCGTAGGACAATCCCCGTAGCTCTGGGACTAGTCTTGTTGCAAACCTTTGCACTTTTTCTAATTTCTTGACGTGCTTGACTAGGTGTGGATTCCAAACTGGTGCTGCATACTCCAGTATGGGCCTGACGTAAATGGTATACAGAGTCTTGAACGAATCCTTACTGAGGTATCGGAACGCTATCCGTAGGTTTGCCAGGCGCCCGTATGATGCAGCAGTTATCTGAATGATGTGCGCCTCAGGAGATATGCTCGGTGTTTTACTCACCCCCAGATCTTTTTCCTTGAGTGAGGTTTGCAGTCTTTGACCATCTAAACTATGTTGTGTCTGCGGTCTTCTTTGCCCTTCCCCAATCTTCATGACTTTGCATTTGGCAGTGTTAAACTCAAGGAGCCAGTTGCTGGACCAGGCTTGTAGCCTGTCCAGGTCTCTTTGTAGTCCTGCCTGATCCTCATCTGATTTGATTCTTCTCATTAACTTCACATCATCTGCAAACAAGGACACTTCTGAGTCTATCCCTTCCGTTATGTCGTTCACATATACCAAGAACAGCACAGGTCCTAGGACTGACCCCTGTGGAACCCCGCTTGTCACAAGCGCCCACTCTGACACCTCATCACGTACCATGACTCGTTGTTGCCTCCCTGTCAGGTATTCTCTGATCCATTGCAGTGCCTTTCCTGTTATGTGTGCCTGATACTCTAGCTTTTGCAGTAACCTCTTGTGAGTAACTGTGTCGAAGGCCTTCTTGCAGTCCAAAAAAATGCAGTCGATCCACCCCTCTCTCTCTTGTCTTACTTGTCACCTTGTCATAAAACCTAGTTGTGGTTCCAGGGGTCGATTTACGGCTCCTTGCCCCGCTTCTTCACTGGCCGCTACTCGGTCACTCTTGGTGCTCCATGAGCTTTATCATACCTCTTCTTAAAACTATGTATGGATCCTGCCTCCACTACATTTCCAAGGCTATTCCACTTCCTGACAACTCTGTGACTGAAGAATTACTTCCTAACATCCAACTGTGACCCTTTGTTGCTGTTCCATCTCTGGAACATCCTGTCTCTGTCCACCTTGTCGATACCTCTCAGTATTTTATATGTTATCATATCCCACCTATCTATCCTGTCCTCCAGTGTCGTCAGGTCGTGTGTGTGTGTGTGTGTGTGTGTGTGTGTGTGTGTGTGTGTGTGTGTGTGTACGTACATATGAGCAAGAGAGAGCTAGCTAGCTCTCATTGTTATGTGGCAGCCTCTTCCTGGATCAGTCGTAGTCAAGCCGTACCAGACTAGTTAAGTTTCAACCAATCTTGTGTGTTCCCACCAAGCAAGTACACCAGGCATCATTTCTCAGCCATTATCGTCCATTCCTAGTTATCAACACTACCACTCATCCACTCAGACTTTTTGTCACTACCATCACTACTACCCAGCACCATAATTTAACAGTACCACAATTACTACCACCCACCACCACCACAACCAGTATCCATCCACCACAATAACCAACAAACAACCTGCTTTACAATTTTTGGACCCCTTGTTTTCTCTAGGTTGGAATATTGCTTTATACTATCAGCTGCCTTTTAAGGCAGGCAGAATTACAGAACCTTCACTGCAAGAATAAATTCAGTCAAGAACCTAAATGCATGAAGTCCCTGGAACTGGACTCTTTGGAGAGTAGTGGAGAATGATATATCACAATCTGCACCTGAAAAATTCTGGAGGAATTGGACTCGAATTAACACACCCTAATTACTTTTTTTTTACGGAAGCAAAAGGCTTGGCAGATGGTGCAAAATATCACCAATGAAAAGGAAGGGCACAATGAATACCCCAAGAGACAGCTCAGTAAAGTTAGGAAGACTCGATACCCTTTAATCTTGCGTAAGGGGAATTGCCAACAAACTCCTAGCTGTCTTCAAGAAGGAACTTGATAACTTCCTTGAGCAAGTCCCTGATCAGCTGGCTGTAGTACACAAGTTGGATTGTGTTCAGTTCTAGCACCAACAGCTTGGTTGATAGGGCCAAGAACCGGGCAGCTTGGTCTGAGACTGGGTTATGGGGGCCGTGATCTTCACATTTGTCTTAAAAAAAAACTTTCAGGCAGTAACTAAAGGCAAACCTAGTTTCCCCATTAAGGATGGTATTTCTCAAAATATAATGGAACTATCCTATTTAAACTGTACAGTAGGAGTTATGTTGAATGGTGAGTTCCCAAATTCATGGATCAGTAGGCTTACTATTTTAGTCTCTAAACCTAATTAACAATTCATTTTGGCAATTGTATCTCACCAGTTTGAATTTATCCATAGAATTCAAACATTTGTTTCCCTTTGGTTACATGCATGAAAGGAGTACATCACTGCAGAACTATTTTGTCACTTTACACACTGATTACTCTTACACTATTTTCGTTAATCTTTAAACTGCTAACAAAAATTGTATCTAAATAAAATTGCTAGAATGGATATATTGAATTACTTCTCTGCAGAATCAAAGGCTACTTTGGTCCGGAATGCAGATGAGGCAGACATCACAATTTACACCTGGTTGTTAGTGTATTTAGCAGTAGAGGAACCTGTTCTTTAGCTGGTGTGAAGCAGTAGAGGAACCTGTTCTTTAGCTGGTGTGAAGCAGCAGAGGAACCTGTTCTTTAGCTGGTGTGAAGCAGCAGAGGAACCTGTTCTTTAGCTGGTGTGAAGCAGTAGAGGAACCTGTTCTTTAGCTGGTGTGAAGCAGTAGAGGAACCTGTTCTTTAGCTGGTGTGAAGCAGTAGAGGAACCTGTTCTTTAGCTGGTGTGAAGCAGTAGAGGAACCTGTTCTTTAGCTGGTGTGAAGCAGTAGAGGAACCTGTTCTTTAGCTGGTGTGAAGCAGCAGAGGAACCTGTTCTTTAGCTGGTGTGAAGCAGCAGAGGAACCTGTTCTTTAGCTGGTGTGAAGCAGCAGAGGAACCTGCTCTTTAGCTGGTGTGAAGCAGTAGAAGAACCTGCTCTTTAGCTGGTGTGAAGCAGTAGAGGACCCTGCTCTTTAGCTGGTGTGAAACAGTAGAGGAACCTGCTCTTTAGATGGTGTAAAGCAATGGAGGATAATTTTGTGTAGTGCAGGAGAGGACCCTCCTCTTATCTGGTCTTGAGCAACAGGAAACGTTTTCTTTATCTGGTGTGGGGCAGCAGGAACCTGCTCATTATCTTCAAATTTAAAAAAATAAACTTCTCGTTTTATTTGGTGGAATATTAAAAATTTTACACTTGCCAGTTCATTGCTCTGTAAGGCTTAAATAAAGCAAAAGTTACCAGTATCATGAATGTTACTTAATTCTTTTACAGCTGTGAGCAGCAGTGAAACCAGCAGAAACAGCGACCTCCTTCAATAGTCAGCAGTACGATTATAAATAGCAGACAAACCAAGAAAGCAGGTGGTGGTGGTGGTTGGCACGTGATGGCCTCCTTCATTGCCCATAGCAGATTCTGGTAGCTACTCAACGACACAGCGAGGTGAGTCTCGTGTAAACTCTCTTGGATACATTCTCCAAGTACAGTTAACCCTTAAATGGTCCAAACGTATACTGTATATACGTTCTCTCGCGTAGCACCCCGAGTATTTTGAGAATTTTTTTTTATAGAAAAAAAGAGCATGTGGTACCCAGGCGTCCCCAATTTTTTTCATATGGTGCACACTGAGTGCGCACACAAATTCTCTCATGTCTAGGCAACTCAGGCCTATCGCGCCACTGTTGAATGAATAAAAAATGAAACGTATATATACATTTGGGGCACTACGCGAGAGAACGTATATATATGTTTAGACCGTTTAAGGGTTAAGTAGCATGTCTGTCTCATGATTACAGGATCAGTGTTTCACCACTCCTTGCCCTGCATCACCCACGTGGGCTTAGTTAGGACTTCCTCCTAACAGTCAATCTACTTTATATTATGGTGGGAAATGGCAAATGTAGTAAAGAAAAACAATACACACCCAGGTATACAAATGAAGATACCATATACTATAGTAATTGTTTATGTATCATGTATTATTGTGAAATTATGATTTTTTTTATTTAATGCAATGAAAATTAATGAAAAACATCTTTGTTTAAATTTAACCACACAGTCACTGAATTTTGCAGAAAATCTTGAGACGTGTAGTCATAAACAATTAAAGGTTTCCTTGTCATTAAAACTTAGAAATTGTCTCCATCCTCGGCAGTTAAAAACTTAGAAATTGCCTTCATCCTTGATGCTAAGATTGTAAATTTATTCTGTTCCAGCACCAGTGTTCCAGAGTAACTTTAGAAAAAGAGTATGTATTTCATGTGGAAAAAGACACTTTTGTACAGTTCAGGACATTTATTACAGGAAACATTTCACCACAAGTGGCTTCATTAAGGCTGATGAAGATACTTGTGGCTCAATGTGTCCTTTAATATTGTAAATGTCTTGAACTGTACACAAGTGTCCTTTTCCACTGTTTATCAGTATCACTGTACCATTTACAACCAGTATGTATTACATTGATTTATGTTTTTCCATGGTGGCAGCACCACACTTAGGATACTAGAAATTTAATCTTATTCAACATGTTAAGTACTGCACATTACAGTACTGTAATTTGATGGTACTGTGCAGTACTTGGACTTACAAGTGTGATATCCATTGCTTCATTTTGCATTTTTTTCAAACCTGCAAGCATTGTGTTTGACAGGAGAGCAAGATTTGTAGTACAATATAGAGGTTCCACTTTATATAATTTTTGCATTTTTGACACCCCATAAATGGAGTGAAATTCTGCCATAGCCATAGTTGTTAGTACTTTTAAGCCTGTCTCTATTCTGGCAACAAAGTCTGCCTACAACAAATCCAGGTAGAGGGATATTTTAATCAGGTTACATATCCCAAATGAGAGCATTGTGTATTGTAACTGTTGTGTCTTATTTCTATTTCCATTGGCTTTCTCTTTTCCCCCATAGTAATGTACAGTACATTGTTCAGTATATTTTAAGTGTTGGCATATCCAGTGGTGTAAATTTGTACATCATCATTAGAGCTAATTACACTCACTTTGCTTCTGATTTGTACTTTTCTTGCAGATTGAATCAATTAGTTTCCAAATAACTTGTAAAAATATGTCATTTCAGATGCCGGGTAATTTGCGGTATGGGGGCCAGAACTCGGCACGCCCGGTCCCCAAACGAGCAATGTCACTTGATTCCCTACATGATAAAAATGTAAGATGTTATGTACTTAGTTCTTTGTTTCTAAAATATTAATGGAACAAGGCAGTCTATAGTAAAATATAGTAACTAACATGTAAAAATGCATTATGTACTCTATATTTAATGCACATAGTACAGTCATTAAATATCCCTTTTGTGCATCTTTCTTAATGGGATACGAATCAAGGTTAGTGAATTATTGCACATTGATTATTTATGTAAGCATTATGTTGGTTGTAGTGTATTGAGAAATTAGTTTTGCAACCATTTCTTCGTACCTGTACAGGCATCTTTGGACCTAAAGGTCCATGAATACATACCTTCCAGAATCACCCGCACCTCTCCGAAGATTAATGAGTCTGCAATGCAATTTGTGAAGGTAAGTTTTGCATCCGCTTTGCACGTTGTGCCATTTGATGACAGCATGGCTGCCTGAATGCCTTTGTTATTGACACGCTGGACTCTTTAATAAATATTACATTTTGTATTGTTGTCATTTTCTTATATTTTCATGAGCAGTGTTACATGCATTAACAAACTTCTTAAACTGTTTCTTTCTCTATCCTTCTCAAGATTCAACCAAATCCTTCTCACCTTTTTCAACGATCAAAGGTATTTGTCAATAAAACTTGTAGCAGTGGAGTTTGCCCCATTTTTTTTAATCCTTTTCTCACTATTAAGCTGAATTTGACTTATCACATCCCGAGTTTTGACCATTATATTGACAAGCCTCCATCAGATGTATCCAGCTGTAGTGTGGTAGCACTAATTGGTTGTTGCAGTATCCAACCATGTCTATGGTAACTGTCCCACAGATAATTTCCTGAATGATGAAGAGTAAACAGAAATATACTACATAAAAAAACTTTTCTAGGAGTTCCCCAGTTAGAATTATTGATGTTGTTATATCCTAATTGTAAACATTTCAATGAATATTGTAATTGCTTATTAAAGTTTAGTCTTTTAGTTTATCGTCATTAGTTTAAATGAGTTCCTATTATGCTGAAACATTTGCATTGATATACAGGATTGAATTTATTAATGTTGTGCACAATAGACTAAATAATATTTCTGGTGTTTAGACAGGGCCAGCTGTTCTCTACAAGTCAGCAACAGAGCAGATCAAGAAAGCAGAAGCAGTGAAAGCAATGAGACAACATTTGATTGATGAGGAAGCAGACTGGCAGGCGGTGGGTTTTAATTTCTCCCGCATTAATAACTTGGGACTCTATGGGAGGGGTGGGGGGCTGATTCCCACAAGACTTTAATCCTTTTCTCATTTACTTGGGATATTTAGGAGCATGTCTTACGGTAAAAATATCAAAAGGCACACTTAGGAGTGTCATGTGGAGCATGGATACACTTTTCTAGTTTCTCAGATGTATAGTATTTAAAGGAATGTTTCTTAAAAAATATAATAATGTTGGTGCCTTCAAGGGAATTTCATTCTTATGATGTATGTACTGGCAAAGTGTTTCTTATGCTCATGTGGTAGTTCTCTCAGAAATTTGGTATGACCATTCTCGAGGGTACCTTAACAAGCATGTCTTCTGAAAAATACTCATCTTATAACTCCTGATTTCCGTATATACGTTGCCTTATCAGTACCTGTGGTACCTAATTTTACCTACTTTTAACAAGAAATAAAAGTCTTGCCTTATTTCCAATGGCCTGTGTGAAACAAACATGTTATTTAAAGGTCATTAACTAATAGCTATAATAAATATTTCAAACAAAGAAGTTGATAGCATGTTCACTGTAATATATATAGTTGTTTACCATAAAGAATACATACAACCAGATAAAATTACCTTGTTAATATATGAGGTCAACATTGGCATATGTCCAAATTTTGTAACTTACACTGCAATGCCTATAACCATAAGCATGACTCAACCCTGTTGTGTGTGTGAGAGATCCAGCCTAGTGTGGATGTGACCTATTCAAGGTGTGTTAATGATCTAGGTTGGCTATGAGAATAGCACAGTGTGGCTTTGAGTATAATATAGCTTGACTTATCAGTATTTATTCTTGTGTGGGTGTGCGCATAATTTAGTCTTGGTACAGATGTGATTTAACTTTAGTATGGCTGGCCAGGACTTCTGTGTAGGTATTTCACACAGTTAAGTGATGTGGTCTCTATTTGCAACCTACACTAGTTTGAGTTAGTGCCATACGAACTTTTGCAGGAAAAAGTATCCTTTTCAGTTTTGAAATATTCATTTGTTACATAAATGGCACAATAAAATTAATTATTGGAAATAATGTTGAGTATTGTATAAAGGCCAAATATTACAGTGCTTTAAATTTCAAATTTGAATGCAGGGAGGTAAACATATTTGTTTTATTATGAGGCTACCCCCAGTCTTTGGTTGATGGATTTTGCTGTACCACTCTGAATTCTTAGGGTGATGGGTTAAATGGCCTCTTAGAGTACTGCATAGGATTATGTGAAAGGGACCATGGTGCTCTTTGTAATATAGTATAGACTGATACAGGTGCTGGTGTGGGTGTAGTGTGATATATGTGCTCGTGGGTGTAGGTGTGGATAAACGCATGCATTTTATCACAGTGGAGTGCCATTGGGTTGCCGTATTGTATCCGCACTGTTTGTGTATTCCCCTATACACAAGGTAAGAAAACAGCAAGTATGATTTCGTATTTGTCTTGTAATTCTGTATGTATCTTTGTATGTATAACTGTATGTATGTATGGGAGTGCATGTGTGTGTGTGTATTTTAATTCTGCATGGAATGCATCTTTGATATTAATTTTGTATGTTTTATGTATGCTCTTAACAAAGTTACTGTGATGGATATCATTCTAGTAATGACTCTTAAGAGTGATGTTTACTTTGCGTGTTGAAATGCCCGTAAAACTAGGGTACAGTACTCAGAAACTGACATACGTGAATGCTTGTGCTTAAGGCAGTCCAATATTTTCAGTTTTTTTAAATTATGGGGAAGCGCAAGGCTCTTGGCAATTTTTTCCATTTATATCGTTTGCGTGTATGTATATGGCATGGGTAAGTGCAAGAGCATAGTGAAAAATGACAAGAAAAATTCTATAGCTGAAGTACAGTACAGTTTACAGTTTTTTGTATATGAAGATACTAATTATATATAGCAGTTGAACATGTCTTTCTAAAAAGTTGAATTTATGTATTGCATATATACATTAGAGTATACAATTCTGTAATTAAGAGTTAGCTCGATAGCAGTATTATTCACCCATTGCATATTCCGTGTACAGTACTCAAAAGATTGTGAAGGATGGGGGATTGATCCTCCATTTCTTGTTCATTGTCCCACATGAATTCAGCCCTTAATAAAATTTTAATCATCTGCTAGTTACAAAATTACAGCAATAATGAACTTTTAAAAGAAATGGGGATTCCATTACAGTAGTAGAGAGGTTAATTACATATTGAATTGACATACATAAACATTACAGCTATTGAGAATGGCTGAAAATTGTTTGTATATTAAATTTTGTGGCTTGAGCTGCCATATTGCTGTCTTTTCTCAGATAGTTTTTTTCCTCGTTTGTGTCTAGTTAAATTTTCACATGTGGATCGATTTAAGCTAAATATAAAACAAGATACTAATTAATATTTAGCAAGCAAAACTGTTGTTAGATAACAGAACATACTGTACGTAGTACAGTGGTTCCCCGCTGTACTACGTACAGTGGGGACACTTATGCAACATCTGGGAATCTTTATTGAAGAAATGTTTTGCCACACAGTGGCTTCATCAGTCCAGTACAAAGTAGAAATGGGTAAGGAGTGGAGGGGTTTGAGGTAATCAGTCCCTCAGCCTGGAATCGATGTGTTCAGTCCATCACTCAGGCCTATCGCGCCAAATTTGAAGGCATGAAAAATAAAACATAGATTTACGTTCGGAGTGCTAGCGGTACAAACGTAGATCTATGTTTGGACAGTTTAAAGTACACTTAACGTCTTTGAACTTATAGTTGACAGTAGTAGTTGCTTGTGTGATAAATGTGCTCACTATACTGTATTTTTAATATATTTATGTTGGTCACTGAATTCTAGGTTAATGGTAGTGCAGAATTTGAATGTTCCCAATAAAAATAATATAAACACTGTATAAACCTTAAATTATTAAAAAAACTAACCAAACTACCTGTGAAGCGATAACTATACTCTTACTAAAAAATTCCTGGTTTTAATTTTGTTATTAGTATTAGTATATTAGGACAGAAGAGCAGTTAGAGAGTTAATCATGGTCATGTTTTATTCTCCAGGAGCTTTATTAAGCTGATACGAAGTCCGGTTAGCCGGACTTGAGTCCTGGAAATGGGAAGTACAATGCCTGCACTTTAAAGGAGGGGTTTGGGATATTGACAGTTTGGAGGGACTTCTAAACTGTCATATCTGAGTGCCTCTGCAAAGACAGTGATTATGTGTGAGTGAGGTGAAAGTATTGAATGATGAAAGTATTTTCTTTTTGGGAATTTTCCTTTTGGGGTCACCCTGCCTTGGTGGGAGACGGCCGACTTGTTAAAAAAAAAAGTACACTGTCAAGCTGATACAAACAATACACTGTCAAGCTGATACAAACAGTACACTATCCAGCTGATACAAATAGTACTTCAGGCTGATACAAACAGTACATCAAGCTGATACAAACAGTTGATTATCAAGCTGATACTAACAATACTGTGTCCAGCTGATACAAACAGTACAAGGACTCAAGAGGATATGTAAAGGGAATTGGGTGTGGTGTAGGAAGTAAGAGCTGAAGTAATGCATCATGTCTGCCAGTTCACACTAGTAGTAATATAAGTGCAGAAGGAGAACTCGCTTCTTGTCAGGTGAAGGTAGTGTTACATAGTGTTTATACTGTCGTTACCTGACACAAGACCACTTTCACTACTGTAAGTAGCATACACCAGTATGCCTACTGTAGTGCATATGTTTTTAGTTTCAGCACCTCAGTGTTATTTTGTACACGTTGTATCCTTGTATTATTTGTACTAGCTTGATAAAGCTCCTGGAATTAGAAACATGTTTCATTAATTGCTCTTGTGGCCTTTTACTTAAGGTATTGTTGGCAATTTTATCAATATGTAATATAATATTACTGTATATTGTTTTAGCCATTAATATTTCACTATTTTGTTAATTAATTTTACTAAGAGTAAATGTGTTCTAGTAATATACTTAAAAGTCATCCACTAATAATGATTTATCTGTATTATTCTCTTTTGAAAGGATCATGTGAATTTTGAGTGATATCACCTTACTAAATATTTTTTCCCTTGTGTCATGGTTTTTTCAAAATGGAAGTCAAAATACTGGATTTAATGTTACCCAGTGTAAATCTCTGATTACATACATGTGCATACATGTATGGACATATACTGTATATTGTATACTTTACTCTGTGCATATAAATTATGTTGGGCAAAGCTTTGCAAGTTCCTAAGCACTTGTCAGACTAGATCAGAAATCAAAAAAGCTTATCTGGATATCACATTACAGTATCTCAAAAAAAAAAAAAAAATGTCTACTCCAATGACAGCAGAGATGGTGCAATTAGCATAGGTTTCAGATGGCCTCCTCTTGACATAACACAATATTTGCACTCCTGTCATGCAACCCCCGATGTTACTACCCTTTGATGAAATCATTTGTCATTTACACCTGCACTGACCCTAGGTAGTAGGTTGGTAGACAGCAACCGCCCAGGGAGGTACTACCGTCCTGCCAAGTGAGTGTAAAACGAAAGCCTGTAATTGTTTTACATGATGGTAGGATTGCTGGTGTCCATTTTTGTCTCACAAACACGCAAGGTTTCAGGTACGTCTTTGCTACTTGTACTTACACTTAGGTCACACTACACATGCATGTACAAGCATATATATACACACCCCACTGGGTTTTCTTCTATTTTCTTACTAGTTCTTATTTTTCTTTATTTCCTCTTACCTCCATGGGGAAGTGGAACAGAATTCTTCCTCCGTAAGCCATGCGTGTTGTAAGAGGCGTCTAAAATGCCAGGAGCAAGGGGCTAGTAACCCCTTCTCCTGTATATATTACTAAATGTAAAAGAATAAACTTTCGTTTTTCCTTTTGGGCCACCCCGCCTCGGTGGGATACGGCCGGTGTGTTAAAAGAAAAAAAAAAAAGAAGAAACCTGCGCTGACTGTTTTCTGTGATTTAAACTATCCTATTTTCTCCCTCCACTATTGCCAGAACCCTTGCACAATGGATTTTTGATTCAGTGTACATAGGCTGCCAGTGATGTGATTGCAGGCATGGGAGGAGTGTAGTTCTGTTAATGTATGGAAAATAGTGTAAGTTATCAGGACAATAGTGATATTAACCCATAAACGGTCCAAGCAGACCTACGTTCACATGCGTAGTGCTTCAAAAGTAGATCTACGTTTTTTTTACATATTTTCAAATATAACAAAAAAACGTAGATCAGAGTTTTTTACACGTTTTCAAATGTAAAAAAAAAAGGATCTACTTTTTTTACATACTATCAAATGTTGAAAAAATGTATATATACGTTTGGACTGTTTACGGGTTAAGGGCTGCAATATTCTGACTTACATTTTGATGCGAAGCTTCCAGTACAAGCAGTTACATTCATAAAAACTGAGAAGTTGAAGGATACACTTGCTAAATACTTGCTAAATACATTAAGAATTATAACTACAGTGCCTGTCAAACTTTTAGACACACTGTAATTAAGGTCTTTTGTGACCCAGAAAATTTATACAGTATATTTTAGTTTTAGTTAGGATAACACTAAGTCTACAGAACTAAGTGTCTGTTATTGTACTGTATTTGATTTCCTTAATTTTTCAATAGCAGATTAAAGCTTTAGTTAAGATTCTGTACAGATATGTTTAAAATTATATATATATTTTTGAGGCAGAGTGAGGCAGAGTGACCTTAAAAAAAAAAAAAAGGGAAGTTTCCCTTTTTAAATTTAGTAATTTATACAGGAGAAAGAGTTACTAGCCCCTTACTCCCAGCATTTTAGTCACCTCTTATGACACGCATTGCTTATGGAGGAAGAATTCTGTTCCACTTCTCCATGAAGATAAGAGGAAATAAACAAGAACAAGAACTAGTAAGGAAATGGAAGAAAACCGAGAGGGGTGTGTGTATAGATGTGCTTGTACATGTATGTGTAATGTGACCCAAGTGTAAGTAGAAATAGCAAGATATACCTGAAACCTTGCATGTTTATGAGACAGAGGAAATAGACCCCAGCAATCCTACCATCATGCAAAACAATTACAGGTTTTCATTTCACACTCAATTGGGTGGTTGCTGTCTACCAACCTACTACCTAGGAAAATTACATCATCATCTTTCAACAAACCCACCGAGGCAGGCTGACCTGAAAAGGAATCTCTCTCACCATCATTCACATTATTACTGTCTTGCCAGAGGAGCACAGATAACATTTTAGATGTCTCTCCTAACAGCAGATATCCCAGACCCCTCTTTTAGAGTGCAGGCACTGCACTTCCCACCTCCAGGACTTGAGCCTGGTTAACCAGTTTCTTGTGAATCTCTTCACAAAATATTACCCTGCTCACACTCCAACAACTCAAGTCCCAAAAACCATTTGTCTCTACTTCTATCTAACATGCTTACATATACATTCTGTATGTCCAAGCCCCTTGCATACTAAACCTCCTTTACCCCTTCGCTCGTACTTTCCTAGGATGACCCTTATCCCACCTTCTCTCCACTGCAGATTTATGTACCCTCCAACTCATCGTATTTTGCTCCACCCTCTGAGTATCCAGACCACCTCAAAACTCCCTCCTCAGCCCTCTGGATAATTTATATGTGAACAGTAATATATTATTTTTATTTTCATTATAAAAAAAATAGTGAAATGGTACATCTTGAGGGTACTGAAGTTCAGGGTTCCTAGGGCAACAACAACTGGAGTTGGCTCTGGATACATGCACAATAGCTAACTCTTCATTACAGGTTTCAGTTCACACCTTGTGTGCTGTCCATCACATTATGTATCACTCGATATATACTGTATGCAGTATATATCCAGTGATATATAATGTGATGGACTGAACATTTCTTATGTTACCCTCTGAGC